CAGTATTTTCAGACCTCTTCGCCCCCTTCCCAACTTTTTATACAGATGGGTGTGGAGAAGAAAAAGTGCTTCCTTGCTGGGACTTTCAAACGTTAGTTTCTTTTACCTTTGAGATTGGACAAAAAGTAGCTTCAAAATTTTGAACAAGGCCACAAAGCTTGTCGTGAAGAAAATTATTTGCATGAAATGACACCCTTGAATTGGTTGAAACATAATGTTACCTGGCACCAATGAATATAAGACCGTTAAGAAAAAAGTTATCAAATGTTTAGGACTGCATGGTTTTGACAAATCAAGTTAGGGAATCGCGTCAGCTTTGTTCTGTTCTCCATGACCATCAGCTGAAATGTCTTTTTAGGGGGAAATGTCTTCTCCCATGCTTACCCGGATCCCATGATCAAATTTCTGTTCTACCTTTATCTTTCGTTAAGACCTTGGTTTATTCAGCAGGTGGAGTAACAGTGAAGGCAGAGAAACTGTTGATCAGAAATCTTGAAATTTAAAGACCAATGGGAACGTCATTCTTGAGCTACTCCTCACACTTTCATTGCTTTTATCCCTCAGCAAAAATTTCTTTGACCTTCCATAAACAGGATTGACTATTTTCTTGGAGATCAAGTTTTGTAGTTTTGTAGGTTTTTACAAAATGCCTGCTTTTGGCGAAGCTAGTCTACCATGGTTCACACCCTAATATGCAAATCTTTCAAGTAGGAACAGCGGACAAGGTGCAACGTCAGAGGTGGGAAGCACACACCGACACAACCAGAAACTCAACAATGGCAAAGGAAATTGACGTTCTTGGCCCACTTTTTCGCCTAGGATTGTTTCAATTTCAAAAAAGCTCCTTACGTCCTCTAGTGTTCAAGGCCGTTGACCTAAAGTACTTCCTGATTTACAACCCTACCATTATTGTAAATTCCATTCAATCTGGGTGGTTCTGAAGCACGAACTCTGCAATCCATAAATTTCATATTAATATATTTAAAAATGGTCTCAAGATACTAATTTTAGATCCACTAATGATAGCTTTATTGCACTGTGTACGTCAGAAGTCAAACCACATTAATGGAAAAAAGGGTCAAACTTCTCTTTTTCTAGTCCAAAGCGTTGAGGACTTCCCTTTTAATTTTATACCTCTGTGGGAGACACCTACTACAAATTGATTTGATGGATACTGTAGAGATGAACCAAAATAAAGTAGCTTGGAACTTGTTCTGCTTGCCACCTCTGCTTAAGCATGCAAATCGGACGACCGGAAACTTCCAGGTTCTTTAAGTCCCTTTGTGCTGGATTAATTTCTCTGAGAGCTTTCATCCGGTACATTTCGTTGTTCACGGAGTTTACTTACTGTTATGCCTAACAAGTATTACCGAAGGCGCTTGGCTGGTAGTCACTTCGCAATTAAAAAATGCCAAAAAAATGCTTATTACCCGAAATATTTTTATATATAATGGATAAATAGCATTTCTCAGAGGCCAAAACATACCATCGTGAAAAGGTTGACGTGACATAAAAGAAACAGTCAGTTATTTCTTCACGTAACGAAAACGACAATTATAACCAGTAACAACATTTTACAGTACAAATTATGATTAACCTGTTTTTCGTAAAAAATTCTGTGTAACAACAGTTTTAGAAACCCGTCAAACGATAAGGCGTCTTCTGCGTTCGCTCGCCTCAGGTAGGCTGGCCCTTGCAACAACCGAGTCAAAAAATTTGGATAAAATCATGCGACTGGTTGACCCTGGTTCCAACTGTCGTCTACAATCAACGTTGATTCTTTCGTAACCAGTCCGGACCTGAATATAACGTTTTATCACCTCATATTTATTGTGAGGTATAATAGGTCCAAATCTCCTTTTTCAAAAGAAAAGAATTCCAACACCCATCAGAGCGAAAGGTCACGTAATCTATCAAAACGAGACTGTGACTGTTTCTAGACTGAAGTAGATGAAAGGTCATTTTAGACAGCAAATACTTTTGAGCAAAATATTATTTCTTTCGAAAGTTGGAAATTAAATAAGTGAAACTCAGAAATATTACCTGACTTGCTCTTTCGGGAGCTAGATCCAATTTACATCCAACAATTAGTACAGGTATTGGTGTACTTTCAATATCTGCTAATAATGGTGAAAGCTGCGTGCCGTGCGGAGAAGAGGGACCGTAAAACGAAGAGTTATTATAGTCACACGTGCTGAGAAGAGAACTCCACTGAGCAAGATTTCCTTCACTCTTCTTATTGCTTAAATCATACACCAGTATGGCGCCTTTTGCTCCTAAATAACAGTATCAGAGAAGTGTTTAAACTCTGTTAGTAGGCTTCGATCTAAAAAAAGTTTTAGCCAACTTTGCTCTCCCTCCATTCCGACACGATGTTTTTTTCAATAAGAAGCTAGGTTTTACCTTCTAGAAAAACTGTCGAAGCTTTCTGATGCATTTTAGAACCACCAACATCCCATAATTCAATGAGTTCACAACGTTCTTCTGCACTTCCAGCACGATACTGATGCGCGAAAACTGAAACTTCGCACCCGACTGTGCTACTGGGAGGAGGTCCAACCCTGGGATTCCAGATTATTAAGAAGTGACACTTTAAATCAAAAGCATCACTGCCTCCCTCCAATTCTGACGTAAACAGTGTTCAAAATTAAAACTGCAAAAGAAGGGAAGGAAAAGGATTACTTTGAGCATACAACATTCACAAACGAGCTTTTACCAACGCCAGCACTCCCCAAAACGACGACTTTGTAGGAAACCATGTCACTCATTTTTTAGTCACACGTAAGTACTGCGAGCAATTCTGGCATTCAAATAAGGCAGAGTCCACTATTCTTTCAATATCAAAGTCACCTAACACATACGCCGCACCGCACCTTAAAT